ATTTCCTAACAAGAAAAATTTGGCTCAAAAACGAAGTTTATTTAAGACAAACAAATTTGAAAGCAAATGTTTGCATAAATTCTACGTTTCAAGTTAAATAGGAGAAAGAATGCTGCATGAAGACGAAGTCTTACCTCGGGTAACCGAATCGCCATTTTTGTCAGCACTTCATGCGAAGAACGACACAACAAACCTTTTCGGCTATAAACTTGGCCAGTCAACAGAAAACAACAAAGCTCTTCTTTTCTTTTCAGGTAAGGAAACAATTCAAACTTTTAGCGGTTCCATTTAAGTCATTACGCTGTTGTTTGCGAAGTGATAAGCTTGTGAATAGCCATGTTTGAAAATTCTACAAAGATCAATTTTTAAACTTTCGCGTGTCTAGCTCACTTGATCTGTCAATCAAATCGTACTTTTTAATGGTTTCCTCTCTGATTTTGCTGAGATCACTTCGTGTGTATATACTAAAACAATTATTCTTTTCAATCTCGGTGAATAGTGGCTTTAGAAATATTTACCTCGCCACTTCGTGGCTCGGTAAATATTTAACCACTATTCACCTCGATTAATTGTTAAATATTATATTTGTCTATTATACTCTTTCTACGTTCCGTTATTTCCTTTTCACTTCATAATCTTCAGTCACCAAGTAATAACTGCCATACTAGCAGCAATGACATCAGCAACTCACACAGCCGCATCCCAGCATGCACTGCTGAAGTCTTCATTGGACAGTCAAAGTACTAAATTAATATAAATTAATATAATTGTAATATATTTGGAATAACAATCCGTAACAAACGAACAACTACTGATTTTAGAGAGCAAGGCATGTTTCGGTCGATCTCGATCACTGATCAGTTCTGTTACATGCACAAGGGAAACACGCATGATTTGAAGTTATATGTCAGTGGGACAAGATTCATGATACGATTGGCACTGATCGATGTTACAAATCATGATTTGTTGTGTTTTCCCATTTCAGACCACGTAGTGGTTCTTTAGAGAACTGTCCCTTTGAAATTTTCGCCTTATGCGCGAGCATCCACGCGCATATTTATGCATAATTTATGAAAGGACAAAAGGAAAATTTCCCGGAGAACATCACGTGGTACATGCAAGCTAAAAATAGTCTGCGCAGCGGGTGTTTGGAGGCAATGGGCTCCTGCAGCTACGCAGCCTAAACTGGAGAGGTCTATTTGAATATAATGTTATCCTGAATAAGCGCGAGATAACGAATATTACACACATTAGGAAAAACTTAAAATGTTCAATCTGTTTAAAGGTATATTATGCAACAAAATAAAGAAAATAAGTAATGATAAAGATCACGATATTGATGATGATGATCATAGGAAAAGTATACGTAAAGTCTGGTTAAAACAAAAGAGCAAACTCAGATGACAACGGACACTGTTGTCTTTCCCAATCACCAGATAAAAATTCATATAATTGTATATTAGGAGGAAGAATCCAACATTGAACATGTAGCTTTATAAACCAACCAAAACTTCCGCGACATCAAGAAACACCCATTCAATTCTAGTCCTGATCGACACTCTTTTGAGCGAAATTGACTATACATGTGTACCAAGAGAGTAGAACGGGGCTATATTCTCTAGCTCTTGCTAGACCAAGAGAGTTAAAAAATAGAACAGAAAATGCGGTAACAATAAACAAGATGAAACAACGAATGTTGCAAAAAACTAAGATTTTAAAGACTTTGCGTCTCGTAATCTCGACTCTCCAAAGGAGAAGCGAAAATTTTGATGTCAAATCGCATTCTCTTTATCATATTGGATAAAATGCTGTACTGAAATTTAAGGGTATCGACGGAGGTTATATTGATAGAACTGTGCTAAAATTATTCAAAGGGACACATAGTTGGTTGGACATTGTAGAATGCTCAAAATAGCAGGGATTCAAACTATCCAAAGTAAAATCTCAGTGATACACTTGGGGAGTCCACGGTGACGCAAATTCAAAGTATCCAGGGTCGAGTTAACAGTACCCTATACACTGTATTTTCTATTAACTGAACGCTAAACGCACTTCTCTTGTATTCTACTCTACTCTACTCTATTCTGCTATGTCCAGCTTAGCTCCCTGTTTCGATTCTCAGCCTTAGTCTTATGTAATCTTCTCTAACATTGGGGAGCAAGGGGCGAGAACAGTGCTGAGAGCACTAGCCCCCACCCCCCACCTTCCCCATTCTCACCAAACTGACCCAGGTTCAAATCCCAGCGTCGACGGTTTCCCCATTTTGGTACTTCAGAGAACTGTCTCTTTCTAATTTCGTCCTGTGCGCGTGCATCCACGTGCATATTAAGTATGCATAATTTATGAAAGGACAAAAGGCAAATTCGCTGGAGAACATCACGTGGCCTGAATTAATAAAACAAACCATACAAATGCAAGCTAAATATAGCCTGTACAGAAGGCGCTTGGAGGCAATGGGCGCCTGCTACGCAACCTAAGCTGGATTGGGGTCTGTTTGAATCTACGTAACGTTATCCTGAATAAGCGTAAGGTAACAAATATAGCACATTAGCGAAAAACGTAACGTTTTCAATCTCTTCAAAGGTATAATAATATGTAGCAAAAATAAAGAAAATAAGTAATGATAACGATCACGATATTGATGATGATGATGATAGTAAAAGTAAAATCCAGTTAAAACAGAAGAGTAAGCTCAGATGATTAAGCTGCATGTTCAATGTTGGTTTCCCCCTCCTAATATAATTAAGAGAAGTTTATATTTGTTAACTGGAAAGATGAACGTGTCGGTTTTTCACAATAACGACTATTGACCACCACAGAAAATGCCATAACATACCAATAATGCTCTTTGTTTGTTACCCCAAAGTTTTGCAGAAGCATTGTTTTCAGTTTCTTTTGGGGCCATTTGAACTCCCAAGGGATTTAATCTAAGAGAGGAAATGGCTTTCCTCGGGAACAAAGAAAACTGTCCGTAATTAACGTTGGGTGTCCGTACAGTGGGATTCTAGTGACATAAAATTTATTTTCCCTCAAAGGGCTACACTAGAATAACACTAAATCTAAATCTTTGTCGGGAAATGGGTTTGTTCACTCGTGCAAATGACGTACCAGTTGTCCAAGTATTTGCCCTTCACAGTTCCACCAGCTTGGTTCGTTACACTAAGAAGCTCTTCAGGACAAATAGCTGTCTCACATTGTGTTTCATGCTTTCCGAAAAAGGCATAGCAAAGTTTTCATCGTTACCGATTCCTGCAAGGTTCTCTCCCAAGTCAACATGTAGTCGATACCACTATTTATCAGACACAGGTCCGAATGTTTTTTAAAGCTCACTCCTTATAGGCATTTGAACAACCACTACTTTTCAGAAACAAGTCTGAATCGAAACACTTGGGACCATATTCATATATGATAAACACGGATTTAGACGGTTTTAATACGCTGTCAAAAGTTATGAAACGTATTTTCTCATTAGCATTAGGTTGGATTTATGTGAGATGCAGTACAAGAAGAAGTACAAGTAGACGCTGCAGTAACATGCTTAGCATCGTTTAGTTGGTTCCGTCAGTAAAAACTCTTTGCAATCTGCAGCGCCCTTCGTTTTTGTCGACACATGCGCTCTCCACATCAAGCTAAACCAAGCGACATTCATTTGAAAAAACTCAAGTTAAAATGTACCAGTTTTGTCTCTTAACAATTAATTACAAGTCTTTTAATTAACTGCAGACTCGCAGTGTTTTAGTCACTGAAGACTACCGGTAGCTTTTATCCTCAACGTGATATTTCCACCTTCAACCTTAATTCACTGTTTGAACGGGTAAACTTCCGCATTAATTGTCTTCGGGATTTCCTTAATAAACAAAGGCTACGTATTTTGCATAGGCGGGAGATGGGCTAGACTGTTTCAAAACAGCTTCTTAGTTTGCAAAGATCAAAGTATTGCTTTTAACTTTGTTCAGAAATTCTAAAAGGCAATTTTTTTCTTTCTTGATGAAATGAGAAATAAAAACACGTTCGGCAAAAACACGTCCGCTTTTACTTACTAGCACTATGCCGAGTCTTGCCAAAACACAACGCACAACGACCATCAAAAGAAAGAAAAGATTGAACCTTGGACAAAAATAAGAATCGAACAGAAACCACTAAATCCTCTGCTTAAGTTCGTCTGCAAAACAGCGCTGAAATCCTTGTTCAGGGCCCCACCTGTGTACCATGATTTGAGTACGCGCTATGATTGGCCAGTAACCTACTGAAAAAAGCCATTGCTAATTTGTCAATCAGGTGGAAGAGAACTGAATCGAAACGCATTTCCGGTAATTCGTTCAGTCCGCTGAGGGCTCAGAACAAGGATCTCAGCTTTGCTTCACAGACGTTACTAACCGGATTAAGATTACGTCTGCGACGCAGGCTACATTATATACTCCTATCTTTGATTTATATTGCGGTCTACTTAGGCTGTATGACCTTTATAAGTCCAGGCATAAGAAAGCAATACTGAATATTAAAATGTAAGAATATATTATGTAAGTAACGTATTACATATGTAAAAATAGAGCTATTATTTTTCATTGTTGTTAGTCTAACGATCATAGAGATACTTAATTCATATCCGAAAATCCAGCCGTACTAAATCTTCAGGAACTGTTCAGTGCTATTTTTTACCAAATGTCCAGTAAGGGCTGTGCTCAGCCAGTGACCGGTGGTACCTGGCGCCTTAGTCTTGCTCTTGGGCATAAAAATTTTTTTTTTCCTAAACATCATATTCTAGGCACCCTGAATTTCATAATCTTCACAGGCTCAAAGCACCGGGCCCTCTTCAATTTTCCTATCACAGCCATCACAGGCATTCAGATAATGTGAAAGGCGCAAAGAAAAGTGCGCGCCACTCCCCACGATCTGAACGACTACTGGAACAGGCTGAGGGAACAGCTTTGCCAGTAAGTTATAAAACTTTCCAACAAACAGCAGATTATCAATGATTTGGTGTACCATTGGTTCTACAATTAAGATGACACATCGGCATCTTTCAGTTCATCGATTATCTCCTGCATGGTTGGTCTCGGCCCAGGATCTCTATGCAGGCATCGCCGTACCAGGCCGCGAAACACACCGTTCGTTACAAGCACGACTTGTTCTTCACGCTTACTAGGATCTGGAAGTTCCCGGATGCACATTTCACAAAGAAGAACACCAAAGCTGTAGACATCAACCTAAAAACAATCATAATACATGACTTTATGCCAGAATATTCTTTATATACATTACTTATTACTTGTGTACTGATTACAAAGAGTTAAAGTAACACGAGAGGGAGAAACTCGAGAATTCAAAATAGATGAATATCGATAAATGGATAAGAAAAGCCTAGAAAACAGAAGATCCTTAAAAGGCTTCATGGTACGTTCTTGGTTTAAATGTTTTGTTTCTAAAAATACTAATTAACTTTTGCTATCCCGTGACTGTTGTCTTTAGAGACAAAAAGGGATAAATTAAAGAATCCAATTACGTGGACAAAATCCATGAAGAAGATATGCATAAAAGAGTGAAAAAAGTGCAGAACAAGGTACAAAGACTCCTCCCAAAGATATAGTCATTTCATATGTATTGTTTATGGAGTGGACATCACTTATCACTTCTGCCACTGTTAGCCTTGCTGTACAGTTTTAGTAAGTAAACAGTATTGAATATTTACTTAAACTTACCTTGACTGTTTGGTTTGATGTAAGTGCTTCAGGTGCGCTGTAAATCATAGCTCCAGGAGCCACTGTCATGGTCTGCTGTATAAAATTAGCAGTGCCATAATCTGACACTTTGGCTCTCCATTGGTCATCCTGTCGCCATAGCAACACATTCGCACTGCTGACGTCACGGTGAATGATAGGGTCTGGTTTCTTTCGATGAAGGTAGTTCAGGGCACGTGCTACATCCAGAGAAATGACGGCTATTTCTGTCTCGGAGAGCTGCCGCTGCTCCAACAAAGTGCGCAGACTTTTCTCCATCAGCTCGGTCACAAACAGAGGAGTTCCCTCATCTTTCGTGGCGCCGATAAACTGTAGTAAGTGAGGATGGCGGCATTTAGAAGCGATATTCATTTCTCTTTCAAACAGGTTTATGTTATGAGGAGAAAGAATCAACTCATGGATTTGTTTCACTGCTACAGTACAGCCACAATACGTTCCCTCATTGACAATTCCCCATCCTCCCCTCCCAAGGTATTTCTCTGTGATCTGAATTTCGTCCCGGAGAATAACCCAGTCACGTGTTTCTTGGTTCCGCAATTGATTTATTGTTTCCTGTGCTGTTGAAAGACTTAAATGTAGTTCAGAAACTTGTCCTCGGCAATTGGTCAACTGCTGTCCTATCTCCCTCAGTTGCCGCTGCAACTCCACCAGCTGCCTCTGGGAATTTTCTTCACGTTGTTGAAACTCCGTCAGCTGCCTTTGAGAATTTTCTTCACGTTGTTGAAACTCCCTCAGCTGCCTTTGAGAATTTTTTTCTCTTTCCTGAAGCTCTCTCAACAACCGCTGCATATTTTGTTCACGTTGTTGAAACTCCATCAGTTGCCTTTGAGAATTTTTTTCTCGTTCCTGAAGCTCTCTCAACAGCCGCTGCATATTTTGTTCATGTTGCTCAATATCCGTTAGGTGGCTTTGAGAGTCCTGATACCTTTCTTTAACCACTCTGAGTTTTCTTTGTAAATCCTGCTCGCGTTGCTGCATCTCCCGTTTCTGTCTCTGGAAGTTTTCCTCACGTCGCTGAAAATCCCTCCACTGACTTTCTATTTCTGAGGTTCGCCTTGGCGAATTTGCTTTGCGTAGATTTTGTTTTTTTTCTGAAAAGATAATCCATAATCAAATATAAAACAAGGCAATCATGAAAATCACCCAAGTAACATGGGCAATCCGATTAAGTGTCACCTAAAAAAGAAAAATTAAAAATTTTGACTTCAAAGAAAATTTTAAATGTACTGCGTTCCTCTCTTTAAACTGAGCGACACATAAGCTTAAGAGATACTGATGAAGAAGATGAAAATCAGAATTTCGTTTCGCTCCGATTGTCACTAAATAATTATGGCTTGCTTGTAAACTCACACAAAATATTGAAATGTGTGTCCAAGAATAGCCCCTTCTTTGAACGAGCTCTCATTTTTTCGTTCAGATGAACCTTAAATCAGTCGATTTGATATCAAAACGTTTCGACACGATCTAGTCCGAAATTGAAATCACGCCCGTATTTTTACTCTAACTGCTTATCCCATAGGACGTTGCATCTTTTACCGCACAGCGGAAACAGTTCTTACCAACTGCCAATCTTGAGAGACCTTCAGGAACGAGAAAAAAATTCTCAAAGGCAACTGATGGAGTTTCAACAACGTGAACAAAATATGCAGCGGTTGTTGAGAAAGCTTCAGGAAAGAGAAAAAAATTCCTAATTCCTAATTCTGTTAGTGACATGTCCCCTCCCCACTACTTTATCGGTCTTCCTCTCTCCTTTTCTCATCTATCTTTCCCTCCAAGATGATCTTTCCCAAGCCCTAATTTGTTTCCATTTGCCAAAATACTTAAGCTTTTGTTTCTTTTAAAAAGGGTAACTTACGAGTTCAAAAAAACAATACACTAAATCTGGAGTGCAAAGACATCCGTGATGAGTTTTTAGAAAACCTGAATTTTTCCATATAAATTTTCTGTAATTTTGATACTGTGGAATTACAGAAAATGTATGGGAAAATCAAGCATCAAATATATGAATTCAGGAAGAATTAGCGGGCTTTGAATTCCAATACAAATCTTTGAATTTCCCTCCATCTTGCCCTGATTACCTATGATGCAACTATGAGCGTGAACTCCTATACGAGCCCACATCGCTGAGGTCTGTCTTTTGTAACGTCATTGTAGATTAAACTTTTGTAAGTGCATTTTCTGTTCTGCACGATGAGGACTAAGGATGTGTTGCGAGATTTGCCATTGCTATTAAATTTGCATTTGCATTTCAGTATCTGTGATTTGCTCTTTTAATAGTAATAAGCTTATGTGTTACATTAAGAGAACTATTTCAGTGAAAACTCTCCTAATATGTGTAACAAACAGCTCACGTCTTAGAAAGTGCTTTGTACAAGGTCATATTCACGAGTTGTTTGTGTCAAAAGCCCTCACTCGCTCGTATCTCGCTCGTTCGGGTTTTGACACAAACAAGCTCGTGAATATAACCCCGTACAAAGCACTTTCTATGACGTAAACTACAGTTTTGATAAGAAAACTACTGAGGACGATTCAGGATCTGAGGGGAAATTTGGGCGGCGGAACCGCCAGCGCGCGAGAAAGATGAGGCGAGGAAGTAATTCGCATCAATCGATTTGTGAATTACAGACTAATGCAGTTGACTCAAAGCTTTCATTTAGTCTTAAATATGATCTGATTTTTTTTTACTCCAAATCACTAGAATAGGGGCCGGCCGGATATCATGCTCTTCTTTGTTGTTTTAAAAAAGAAGATCAATGTTGTTCTAGTAGTCTACCCCTCTTGACACTGTTAACAGCGGACAATGTTTTGACGCAAAGATTCCCGGTCGAAAAAATTTATAAGCGTTAATATTCTGTCTTGTTATATAACAATTATTCACCGAAGTGGAGGTGGCTAGCAGTGATACTTACCGAGGGCGCGAAGCTGCGAGGTAAATTTCCACTACTAGCCACCGACACTAAGGTGAATAATTGTTTTAGTATATACTAAAACAGTGAGATATATAATTGAGGACAAAAATGATGATTTTTAACTCATTTACTGTTGCCAACGATTACAATTTGGGCGCACGGTGACCGAACGGTCGCGGTCATCGCTTTTTCTTAGCGACAAATAAAACTTTTGAAGGCGTTTGTATAGCTCTTGCGGCGAAGTTTCTTCAAAAGGAGTTGTGAATTCTTTTTGTATTTAAAATCATTCTGTAAAAAAGATTATCAAATTTAGTTTTAATCTTATTTATGAACAAGTCAAGTAAATTAAGTAGCGCAAGACTTAAGCTTAATTTGCATTTGTAAACAAAAAACTTTTTCACCGGTTTTATCGATAAATTTAAGTAAAAAAGACGAAGATTTACCTGTTAAAACTTCCAAACCGAACTTCGTCACCTTTTTCATGTATTTTGGGAATAGCTTGCATGATTAGTTGTGAAATTTCTTAGTTTGTTACGGCAGCAAACCGGGAAGGCATTTTGCTCGCAACTTACGCAAGTTTGGCGTCGCTCGCTCGGAGGAACTGGAGGTGAATCAGTGAATAGTGAAGGATATTCACTGATTGAGTAGCCAATCAGAGCGCGCGAAAAACACTATCCACTGTTTTAGTATATACTAAATATGGATATTTCACTCATCAATTATAAATATTTAAGCCCAGCTATCCACACAAATGTACGGGTTTAACCGTACGCTTCTCAATTCAAAAACACCAAACTAACTACTCTTGCCATAAGCTTGAGCTACCTGTTTTTATAAACCTTCGTAAATACAGTAAGTTTAACCCGTATTCGTCTTTTTATTTAAAGACTAAAACCAAAAAAGAAAGATCTGCCTGTTTCCATACATTTGTACAGAGGTTCAACCATGTACCTCTTTATTCCAAAACCAAAACTTAAACAAAATTTTGGAAATTACTTTGAACACTCTCACCTTTGATTGGGACGGGCATTTTTTCAATAAAAAGCTGAAGCTCATTTGGATCAGCATCTTTTAGTTGAACAGTTTGTCCTTCGTGACCCCACCAGTCTTTTAGCTCTTTAATTGTAACTGTATCCTTGGTGACCTTCACTGTAGTTTCAGGCATAATTACAAACTTTAAAAAGTAAGGAGAGGTAGTATTGGATTACTTCCTTGAAATACGCACTGTAGTCGATTAATAGAGATAAATTAATACATTTAGAGGTCAATTAACTGCATATTACACCGATATCCGGCAGTATAATCGTCATCCGCGATCAAAGTTCACCTAAAGTGTTGTGCAAAGTACAGGACAGCTTCCTTAGCTTCCTTAGTTTCCTCAACAACATGGCTTAATCACAGTACAGAGTAACCGTTGAATGTTCATCGTTAACAAACATTGCGCAATTTTTACAAACCTCTATAAAAAGCGGACACTTGGGAAGGTCCCGAAGGTGTCCGCTTAATACCAGGGGGGGTACTTGGATAAATTTTTGCTGGGTATGTGCCGCTGGCCTCTCAGAGCCCCTACCCCATTATAGTTTATTCTGTGACCAATTATAGACCCCATCTTAGCCACTTTTGGGCAAATAATCACTGAATGAAGAGCACTTTACTTTTCACCTACAGTGGAAACATTCTGGTACGTTTGCTAACCGTAAATATGAAGAACTGTCTTACCCCAAAAAATCCCAAAATGTGCCACCCCATTCGAGTAACTCTATTGAAATTTCGACCCCTCTATAGTCAGTCCAGTTGTGAAAATGCGACCCCATCCAGCGGCACATTCCTATTAGCCTCTTATAAGGAAGTAACCCTTCCCTCCCGGGGCTTACCTCCTCACGGAACTTTATGATAAAGTAACACAATCTTCCAAATTATAGATAGCAATCACATGATTTATACGATAACATAACGCTGTTTTTATATCGCATAGCAACCTTATTTCCGCTTTTTTGCCAGTTGTTGTAATCTAACGGTCAATCGTTGATATTACCCGATGAGTGTGGTCATCTTTTGGCCACACGAAACAGAGCTGTAGTAATAAAACGATGCACTACCTCTGAAGTCTTGAACCAGTTCATTATAATTGTATTGTTAAATTATATATTTAAAACCCTTTCACTCCTAGAGTCATGGATCTATAAAATTTAGTTCTTACTCTTGAGCCCCTGGACGAAACCCCTCTATCAGTACTCTCACATGGTACTATTTGTTTTCAGTATTGGACGAAATGAAATTTCGACTTCTCTGTTGATGACGTTTTGATTTTGCTGATTTTGTCAGTGCAATCTCGGAAGTGAAAGAGGAAAAACATCAATAACTCACATACCATCTCGTCATGCCCCGCTATCCTACTGGCATATAAAATGCGGCAATCGTTGAACATCGCACGAAACCAAAGTTGTAGCTCTCCTTCTCCATCCTTCTTACCGCGCAATGAGACGGTACCAAGTACAACACAAAGCTGTGTATAGCCCAACTGACTGAACCAACTGAGCCAATCCATTTTGTTTATTGGAAGTGCACCTCGTCCCCAGGCTCTCATCTTACTGAAAATCGTAGCCGCCGCAAGGACGGTATGGACTGGATTTGTGCGCTGAGGCGTTTTTCATTTTATTTCGTTCATTTGTTTTTATTTACCATTTTGTGAAAACTCAGACTAGATCAACAAAATGCACATTCAAAGTGACTTTTTTCCTACATGTGTTTAAAATGCTTCGCGCTCGAGCAAAGTTTACATATTAGTTGACATAGCACCGCCTACTCTGCATATTTCAAACACTGAGAACTTTTTAAAGTAAACTTTAAACATTGGTCCAAGACACGTGAAATGGGTTTATAGAAATCATACTCCAAAGAAATTCTGTGACTGAAAACCGCAGGTTTGAAGAATAATCTAGGACGGGGAATTTACCCGCCAACCACAGTTTCTCTTTCATTTCTAAAACACGTGATGTCAAGTCTGGGGTCAGTGATCCTCTTAAACCTGTCAGACCAGGTTTACTTTTTGCAGTTATTCTCTTTTGCAGTTTGCTCGTTTCGCTTAAGTCACGGTTAAAATGGTCTACGGTGCAAGCGAAAGAAAAAATACCGGGTAAATATCCTCGTGTGAAGCTTACACTGTGTCAGGGAAGGATGGAGAGGGATTAGAAAAAAAAACAAAAACATTTTATACAGGCTGAATTGCCTGAAAAATTCAAGCGAAAAAAGAAGAAATAGAAGAAGAAAAACACCGTCCAGAGAAACTTTTCCCCTTTTAGTTGGCCATTAAAAGTAAAAAGAGGATCTGCTAGGAGACCAGCCACTGCATGGTTTTATTCGACCCCTTATACCATTCTCAAACATTCTTTTTATTTTTAGCATCGAAGCACAAAATATTGTCGTTCAGTCCTGAACAACTTGAGTGATGCCACAAACTACAAGTTTACTCCGCTACGAGGCGATACCCATACATCCCCTCCCCCCCCGTTATTTTCAAGTTTTTTTTCCTTTTGTCTTTTAAAACGTGCTTTTTCCTTGCTTATGTTGTCTTCAATGATAACAAGCTTGTGTGTTTCACGCCGGGTATGTTTTATTTTTAATGATTTGAATATTTGATGGTTTCCCTCAAAGTAGAATTACGCAGAATACATATAAAAAGTCAATTGCACTTTAATACCAGCCATATATAAGGCGAGAATTTACCCACGGAAAAAATATTAATGAAAATTGACCTTAACATCAATTTATTAAATTCTCAGAAAGCCGGAAATTGCGATTCTGAGAATTTAGTTTTCCGCATTTTTTCTACACAACCAGCGAATCCCCAAAAAAGGCAAATAGAAATTAATCAGAATATGTTGATTTTCCCCCAACTGAATAAACTGAAAAAAAGATTGCCATAATTATTTTGGTTAACATCTTTACTATTAACATATGGTGTTCTTTATTCTCAATATTTAAAGAGTAACATTGAACCAATTCAGTGGTTGTTTTAATTGTAAATTGTGCGTGCTGTTGCAAACCAGTCGGCAGTAAATAAACACAAGCCTCATTGTTCTCGCGAAAATCAAATTGAGACGTATTTATTGCAACTTGATGACAAGTAAAGACCGGTAAACGCATTTGTATTGCAAATCCGTGTCATACGAAAAGGATTATAACGTGTTGCTCGCATACAGCCTGAGGTGCTCCAAAAGTCCCATACATTGCTGTAACAACGTTACAGTAAATTGTATGGGACTCTCCACGATACTTACAGTTCAGGCGATTTGTGTTGCTCCGATGAAAATTAAAATTACTCAGTTTCCTGGTGGATTCCGTCTAAAACTCAATTCTTAGTTGATAAACTATGCTATCCTTAAGGCAATCCTGTCTTCTCTAAATGATCTACTTTATTTGGGGCTGAAATGGAGTCTCGTATTAAAATCTCGATTCTCCGAAGGAGAAGCACAAATTTGATTTCAAATCGCATTCACTTTCTCATATTGGATGAAATGCTGTACTGGGCAGCACAGAAAGGGTAATATGATACACATATTGACCTTTACGGGTATCGAGGGGCGGGAGGTTATATTGATAGAACTATGCTGCCTTAAATTATTCAAAGGGACACATAGTTTGTTCGACATTTTAGGACGATCAAAATATCGCAGCGATACACTTGAGGAGTCCACGGTGATGCAATATATCCAGGGCTGAGCTAACAGAACCCTATAAACTGTATTTTTGATTAACTGAAGGCTAACTGCACTTCTTTTGTGTTCTACTCAACTCTGCTCTGCTCAGCTCAGCTTAGCTTTCTGTTTTGAATATTCTCAGCCCTACTCTTATGTAATCTTCTCTTCCTGCGCAGTGGTGAGATCACTCCTCTCCCACCAATGTGGCCCGGGTCCAAATCCCGGTGTCGACGCCATTTGTGAGTTAAGTTTGTTGTTGTCTCTCCTTTGCTCCGAGATCCTCCGAGAGGTTTTTCTATGCATCCACGTGCATAAGTATGCATAATCTATGAAAGGACAAAAGGCAAATTCCCTGGAGAACATCACGTAGTCTGAATTAATAAAACAAACCATACAAATGCAAGCTAAATATAGCCTGTACAGAAGGCGCTTGGAGACAATGGGCGCCTGCTACGCAACCTAAGCTGGACTAGGGTCTGTTTGAATCTACGTAACGTTATCCTGAATAAGCGTAAGGTAACAAATATAACACATTAGCGAAAAACGTAAAGTTTTCAATCCCTTCAAAGGTATAATAATATGTAGCAAAAATGAAGAAAATAAGTAATGATAACGATCACGATATTGATGATGATGATAACGATAGTAAAAGTAAAATCCAGTTAAAACAGAAGAGTAAGCTCAGATGATTAAGTTGCATGTTCAATGTTGGTTTCTCCCTCCTAATATAATTATGAGAAATTTATATTTGTTGACTGGAAAGACGAACGTGTCTATTTTCCACAATAACGACTATTGACCACCACAGAAAATGCCATAACATACCCATAATGCTCTTTGTTTGTCACCCCAAAGTTTTGCAGAAGCATTGATTTCAGTGTCTTTTAGGGCCATTTGAACTCCCAAGGGATTGAATTTAAGAGAGGAAATGGCTTTCCTCGGGAACAGAGAAAACTGTCCGTAATTAACGATGGGTGTCCGTACAGCGGGGTTCGAGTGACATAAAATGTATTTTACCTTTAACATAAAATGTATTTTACCTTTAAAGGTTTCTCTACAATTACACTTAATCGCATTCAAGGTAAAGGAAGAAGTAAAGGAAGGTCATTTAGAATCTTAATGTGTACTTACCATTTTCGTGGACATCGTCGTAGTCATAACCGAACTCGAAAGACTTCTTAAACATCTGTTGATGAGTATACACAGGATAAAGTGGTACAATGACGTCATCTTTGTTGTGTCCGATGGGTGAATTGTAGGTTGAAGGAACCGAAGCGTTCTTGTTGAACTTGTGAAGCCATTTCTCATAGATACGATCCACAAAGGAATGATGAAGAGGGAAGATGGGGTTGTTTGACGCAGAAGATACATCCCACGACTATGTGAACCTGGTTATGTCAAAAGGTCTGGACATTTGGCAAACGATAACCGGTCTTTGTACTGGCGTAGCCTTTCAGGACACTTTTAGAATTGCAGCTTGACTCTTTGCCATAGGGTGGCAGGTCAAAAGTTTCAAACCGGAGAGCAAATTAAAGTTGACTTCTTCTTTGGTTGGAAATGTCATTGTACATCTCTGTTTTCTTACTTTTTCTTCCTTTTCCTCCTTAGTGCGTGATCTCTTCCAAAACAGGTTTCTTGTTTGTTGCGTGGTCACACATCTTTGTCGGGAAATGGGTTTGTTCACTGGTGCAAATGACGTACCAGTTGCCAAAATAGTTGCCCTTCACAGTTCCACCAGCTTGGTTCGTTACACCAAGACGCTCTTCAGAACAAATAGCTGGCTCACATTGTGTTTCAAACTTTCCTAAAAAGACATAGCAAAGTTTTCATCATTACCGATTCCTGCAAGGTTCTCTCCCAAGTCAACATGTACAGTCGATACCACTATTTATCAGACACAGGTCCTAATGTTTTTTAAAGCTCACTCCTTAAAGGCATTTGAACAACCACTAATTTTCAGAAACAGGTCTGAATCGAAACACTTGGGACCATATTCATATATGATAAACACGGTTTCAGACGGGTTTTTTAGTAATACGCTGTAAAAAGTTATTTTCTCGTTAGCATTAGGTTGGATTGAGGTGATATACAGTACAAGAAGAAGTACAAGTAGACGCTGCAGTAACATGCTTAACATCGTTTAGTTGGTTCTGTCAGTAAAAACTCTTTGCAATCTTCAGCGCCCTTTATTTTTGTCGACACATGCGGAACCATATCAAGCTAAACCAAGCGACATTCATTTGAAAAAACTCAAGTTAAAATGTACCAGTTTTGTCTCTTAACAATTATTTACAAGTTAGTCCTGTAATTAACTGCAGACACGCAGTGTTTTAGTCACTGAAGACTACCGGTAGCTTTTATCCTCACCGTGACATTTCCACCTTCAAACTTAATCCACTGTAGGACCACACAATTCTTAGAAACGGGTAAACTTCCGCATTGTCTTCGGGATTTCCTTACTAAATATAGGCTACGTATTTTGCATACGCTGGAGATAGGTTAGACTGTTTTAAAACAACTTCTTAATTTGCAAAGATCAATGTATTGCTTTTAACTTTGTTCAGAAATTCTAAAAGGCAAATTTTTTCTGTCTTGATGAAATGAGATAGCAAACACGTTCGGCAAAAACACTTCCGCTTTTACGTACCACCAATATGCCGAGTCTTGCCAAAACACAACGCACAACGACCATCAAAAGAAGGAAGAGATTGAACCTTCATATGAATCGAACAGAAAGCACTGCCAGGTTTGCAAAACTGCCTTCATATTTACATTCATAAACGTCATGATCGTTCTTTCCGAGAATTGTTTTCTGTGTATCAGGAGATGTCTTGCAAACATTTACACCAATTCAGGTTATATATATGATTTATGTCATTGAAGTATAACCGGTATCGACTTTGTAAAAAAACACGTTCTTAAGTGTAAAGCTCTTTTTCCTTGATTTCCCATACTGTGGAAGGCCTTGAAGGAAAGCATTTCTCCTTCATAATTCCACAAGAGCCAAAACAGGGCAACATACTTCCTTTTAAATAAAACTTGATCTCTTTCGCCAAATCTAAAACCAAACGGCATTCTTATGAACGAAGAAGATAAAAATTTACCTTTGTCTCTTTAAACTGCACTGTGCACGTGGTTGGATTGAAGCTTCTATGCTCCTCGCTCTAGGTCCACCTCAAACTGAATGCCCTGATTTAACTCCAAGCGCTGAGATATAAGAGAGTCAGCTGACTCACACCCTTCAATTTCCAAGAAATGCATTGCTACTAACAATGCGTGATCGATGTGTTTAGCAGCTGTGCGGAGCTGTATACGATGATCTCTACGATGTCATTCCTGTCAGAATTACTGGCATAAATAAATGCATTGTGGTCTGGAGACAAGACACTCCCTCATCATAACAGCCTCAACAAGACAGAAATCGCCTCAACCTCGGCTTTAAAAGCCGCCATAGTTGTATATTTATTGAGTGTCCTGTAAGACTTGCAAAAAGCAAGATAATCTACTCGTTTCTGTTAAAATATTGTCTATTTTAAGTGTACGACCTATACTCACTGTATACTTAATAAGTAATTTGGGTAAAATCCTATTCTATAAGTCGACTTACACGTTGAGTAGAAAACTCTAATAGTACATCAAATATAAGCGACACATCTACTCGTTTCTTTAATTATTAAATATTGTCTATTCTACGTGGATGACTTATACTTTATAAGTAAGTAATATCTTAATTGATGTGCACTCGATTTTTCAAATAACCCATTGCATATGAAACTCTAACTGATCACAATTGCTTTCTAACTCGCAAGTTTAATTGTAAACGCTAAAACGTTTCATAAGCCATCATATACTTGTGTCTTCACTCAATATTGTATATATAACATGGCCTATTTCATTTGTATGACCTACTCATAAGCAGGTGACCTACTCAGCTACACGCGGATTCAGTGGAATATCCTAATTGGCTTTTTACCCAGTAAAAAAAGCCATTCTTAATTTGCAAATCAGATGGAAGAGAAAATCGAAACGCATTTCCGGTAATTCTTTCAGTCCGTTGAGGGCCCAGAACAAGAACGTTACTACTAAATTATAAACCGGATGAAGATTACGTCTACGACGCAGGCCACATTATCTACCCCTATCTTTGATTTATATTGCGGTCTACTAAGGCTGTATGACCTTCATAAGAAAGTAATATCGGAATAAATGTAAAAATATATTTTGTAAGTAATGTATTGCATGTGTAAAAATAAAGCTATTATTTTTCATTTTTGTTACTCTAACGATCATACAGACACTTATTCATATCAGAAAATCCGGCCATACTAAATCTTCAAGCAAAAACTGCTGCTATTTTTGCCAGTATATGCCCAGTCAGGGCCTGGTGCCTTAATCTTGCCCTTGGGCATAAAGGAAGTATCTTTTTTTTCACATAAATCAAATCCTGGGCACCCTGGATTTCACAATTTTCACAGGTTCAGAGCACCGGGCCCTCTTCAATTTTCAGACCACAGGCGTTCAGATAGCGGGGAAGACGCAAATAAAAGCGCGCGCCACTCCCCACGATCTGAACGACTGGAACAGGCTAAGCGCACACATTGCCAGGAATTATCAATGATATGGTGTACAGTGGGTTCTACAATTAAGATGATACATTGGCATCTTTCAGTTCATTGATTATTCCCTGCATGGTTGGTCTCGTCCCAGGCTCTCTCTGCAGGCATCGCCGTACCAGGCCGCGAAACACAGAGTTCGTTACAAGCACGACTTGTTCTTCTCGCCTTGTAGGATCTGGCAGTTCCCGGATGCACATTTCACAGAAAAGAGCACCAAAGCTGTAGACATCAACCTAAGAAAAACAATCATAATACATGACTTTATGCCAGAATATTCTTTATTTAGATTACTTATTAGTGGTATACTGATTACGAAAAGAGTTAAAGTAACACCAGAGGGAGAATCTCGAGAATGCAAACGAAATATATGTTTATCAAGATTGATAAATGAATAAAAAAAAGCCTAGAAAACAGAAGATCCTTAAAAGGCCTCTTGGTGAGTTCTTGGCTTAAATGTTTTGTTTCTAAAAATACTAACTTTTGCAATCCTCTAACTAGCCTGAGTATCAGGCCTTCCTAAGGGGCTAGGGGAGAGGAGATTTTAGATGGGGAAGGGGAGGGGGGGAAGAGAAAGTCAACCCGCGTAAACTAGGTGCAAAAATAAATCATTCAAATGCTGCAAATATCATCACACGTGCAGTCAAAACAACATTTTGCTCGATGTTTTTAAAGTTTGCAAGCTGCAGAAACGGGCTGAACAGTTCATGGAATTGTTCAATGTGTTTGAATTAAAGATTCTGGGTTATTACCTCGAGTTTTCCGCTCTTCCACAGAAATTTCTTCTTCCTCCTCTGATACTTGCCGAGCTTTGTTTGGGCGCTTACCACGGCCAGCCAAGCGAAGCTCTTTCGCTTTAATTTGTCCTCCAACACCTCTTTGGACGAACTAAATTCTCGGTCACGTACAATGGACAGGGTGCAGCCTTTGTTCTTTACGTGTCTATCAAGCGATGCCATCATTGTCATCATTACTTTAAGGCTCTCTGGTTCATAATCTTAACCTTTTTTGTATTGTTTACTTCGGCGTAGAAATGCTCGAGCAATTGTGTTAAGCTCAGCCGGCTCAAAATTTTCTATTTCATCAGTAATTTCCTTATTCTTCCAAAACGAGAGCCAAAAACCAGTGCTTTTCGCAGTGTTTTCGTTTCTAGAGGAGTTTTTCACCTCCTCTGCAGTTGTTTCGGTCGCAAAAGCAAATGTGCTGCAAACGCAGTTTTTGCTCAAAACTGGTCAGGAGCGGATCCAAATTTTGCGCCATTTAGATGGCGCATTTGATTGGCTCTCCGTGAGTTCCTTTGTTTATTAGCCAATCAGAATGTCACGTTTGTTACTCTTTTCTGCACTAGATTACCTTTTTTCTGCACCGTGTTACCTAAAAGCTGCATTCTTCTTAGCCAATCACAATCGAGAAATTTTGTCATGTATATTGTTAGCGATGAAATACTGTGTTCTGTTAATTTCTTCGTCTTCGCGATGAACTATTAAAAAATGAAAATATAACTGTAAGGGGGTCGTCGTAAGGTTCGAACCCGGGTTTCTGCGGCCACAACACAGCGTTCTAGGCCACTAGACCAGACCAACCACTTCCATATATCAAAATGAATATTTTTATAATGTTTCCTTGAACTTCTCACCTCCGTTTCTGAAACTTAATTTCCGGTAATTTCTACCACCGGATCTCAGCTCATTGACAAGTGGCCCAGTTCTATCCTTCCAAAACCGGTTTGCCCAGATTTCAGCTCAGTAATAAAAGTGGCCCAGTTCCTGTCCTCCCCAAACCGGTTTGTCCTGAAAAGCCGGTGTTGACCCTCCCACACGCTGAGAGAGCGCCATTTTGAACAAATCTCGCTTAGTTATCTGACCGAGACTACTGCCGTATGGGGCAAGGAACAAGTAAGCTCTCATGCTGGGGCTTATGGTTGACTCACTGGAACAGTCTGCTCGAGTAATATATAAGTAATATTTTAAGATCACTAGAAAATTAAAAAATAAGAAGTCGTGAAGTTCAGTTATGCGGTTTATCTGTTCTTTTAATCGAGTAGTAGACCGCCAAAACATTCCACCTTTTCTTTTAGGTGCTTGAGTGAGGTGATAGCATCGTCGGAAATCTAGCAGGTTCCCAGGCCGCTGAAATTTGATTTTTATGGTCCAAATGATGTTTGGCGATCGATCGACTCGGGTGAAATAAGGAATAGGTCTCTAGAAATTTGTGAGGGGGTGGTCTAGTTTAAAGGAGATTAAACTTTTTGACTTGAAACTTTGCATGCGGTAAATACTTTTTAAAAATGTTCTTATCCGTTATCACGTGACTTATCTCGCCCATTTTTTGCCATTTAGTTTGGTCCAATTTTACAACATTTTACAAATACTAGTTGTGATTTATTCTGTTTTCTTTCAATGACTATTAACACAAGGTTTATGGAATTAATCGGGGTTTTTCGAAATTATTTGTTTTGAGTGAACTATAAAGTTTCCAGTTGAGAGTGGGACTGGGTCGAGGAGAAAACATTTGATAATTACATAGGAATAAAATATTTTGCAATAACCCGTTTAATTTCACTCATTTGACTTTAAACTTAACACTATGGAAAAAGAAACGGAAGCTTCAACAGTCATTTTCATGGCGTAATGTGAAAATATTTAATTTTGCATAATTATGGGCGTGGCTGGTCACGTGACCTTAAGTGGAACAGTGTGAGCTCCAAAAATGGTTCCAATATTAAGCATATGTGTTTAAGTAACGAAATGAAAAGAGATGGGAGACAAAAAATGAAAAAATGAAAGAAGTCCAAAATAGAGCGAGGAGCCATGCCTTAGTTGTGTCTGTTACTCGTTTTAGCTTCTGGAGCCATTTCGTGGCCGTTTTGGAGTTGTACCTATTCTCCTGCTGATCAATAATAATAATAATAATAATAGTAATAATTGTAGTTATAATGATAATAATAATAATAATAATAATAAGTATTATTAATATGTCTTTCTTTTTTCGATACAATACATATCAAACGGTACACAAATTAATTAAGGAGCTTACAGTAAGAATTTCTCATAGTGTTCAATTGTATTTGAAACTAAGCCTATTTAAAAAGCTTCTTTTAAAACGTTCAGTGTTTATCCTAGGTAACTTATTAGATCTTTGTTTTAATCTAAGGGAGGATCCTTTGGCTTGGGGCAACATAGGGTACAATGGGTGAGAACTGTCGCTTCTAATTTTCTTGAAGAGTTTCCTATCACATTTGAGCAAGAGCTAGCTAAGAGCTCGTGGATATTATAAATTTTTGAGGAGTAGCGCCTCTTGAAACATCTTTTCAGGAAGCATTGTACTGTATTTAAATCCGCTTGGCATGAGCCATAAGCAGGGAGACCATACACTCTTCTAGGAAGAACGAGCCTTTAAAAGATGATCGATTTCGTTTTGGCCTATTTCCTAAGTTCTCCTATTATGTAAACACATTTGTTCGCTTCATTTAGTTACGTTTAACAAATGCTTAGCAAATATATCAATTCAAATCCTAAACCAAACACCTCTACTTTAAAATACTTGGTTGTTTTACTCTCAATCTGGCCCTGTTTTCGAAGCACGGTATATTTACTGTATTTCTTTGCTTTGTAATATAATTGTTGTTGTTGTACTCAGAGTCTCAGCCCACTTGTTATACCCAATTCGTGTTCCGCAGTCCGCAGTCCAAGTTTATATTTGTCAAAAATATATTTTTTATATCTGTTAAATCCACTTTAAGATAATGCATTAGACTGCTGGTTCGCCATTTGGCTCCCACTGAACCTTAACATCCAAATGAAAACTTGTTGCTAAGACCCTGTGTTCAGGAAATGACAATATCCTGGTCTCATTTCGTTTTTCTACACGTAAGCAATAAAAACGAAACAATTCTTAACTTTAATGTACTTGATATTAAACTTACTATTACATGAAAGAACATCATCGCAGTTATAACAGACTAAAGCCTGAAAAAATTCAGGCTTGTACGGGATTCGAAGGCTTGACCTCTGCGATACCGGTGCAGCGCTCTACCAATTGAGTTAACAAGCATACTGGGAGCAGGTCGTTCAATTGGTTGGTATTAAACCCGTTGAAGGATGATAATGATGATCATCATATTCCTTTCAAGGTTTAATACCAACCAATTCACCAGGTTTAATACGAACTAATTCAACGACCTGCTCCCAATTGTCTTGTTAGCTCAATTGGTAGAGCGCTGCATCGGTATCGCAGAGGTCAAGGGTTCGAATCCCGTACAAGCCTGAATTTTTTCAGACTTTCTTTTCGCAACTAAAAAAGTTGCGTCTATAACTGCGATGATCTTTTTTAATACAATTATTGTTCTCATATATGATTTTCATAAATTCATAACTTCATTAAACCTACTATTATTGTAACTATAAGCTTGTAACAAATTTCTATATATTATTTGAGCTTAAACTTGAATCTTTCATGACTTAATTACTTTGAAAAATGAAATTTGTTCCACACCAACATGAACAAAAACAATAATCTAAGTAAGTTAATTTTAAAGTAGAAATTAAGTAAAATTATTTTCACGCCTCTTTTGGCCAAGTCTTATTTTCTAACAAACTACACGTGCTTTAAGTCTTGTTATTTACGTTAGCGCAAATTCTAGGATGAGTGGGCCTCCACCTCATGGACCGCCACCCCATGGACCCCCACACCATGGGCCTCCACACCATGGGCCTCCGCCGCATGGGCCTCCACCGCATGGGCCTCCACACCATCCACCACACCATGGACCCCCACACCATGGACCTCCACACCATGGGCCTCCACCGCATGGGCCTCCACCGCATGGGCCTCCACACCATCCACCACACCAAGGGCCTCATCCCCATGGAGATCACCACCCTCCACCACCTTAAGGACAAACCCTTCCCAGGTAAGTTGGAAATGTTGTTTAATATATATATAATATTATTGTTATTTGTGAATGCCATTTCCTGAGGACGGTTATGCAATACTGGTAACATTCATCATTTGGAACACTTGGATTCGGGTAGCTTGTGTTAATGATATAATTCAATGTTAGTACAAGGCTTTAATTTCGTCTGTAACACAGGTTTAAAAGTGCTAAAAGGTTTACATCGTAATGATAGTCTTTGGTTTGCATAGTTATCTCAACGAACATTTCAAATGTCACTCTTGTAGGTTAGGAACTATAGCAATACCCTGATTTCACGTCCATAATTTTTCATCATTTGCAAATGTTTTCAAGTACTATATCCGGTTGGAAAGTAAACGGAAAACGGGTGATGTCAGTGAAACGTTTTCGAAACAAAAGGAACTTCTGTGTAGCGGTTGGGTTCCCTGTATTGTTTTTTCCTCCTTTGTGTTATCAGACCTTGTCTTTCGCCCTTCTTGTTATCCTTTTGGCAAGTGTTTGCACGGCTTAGGAAAAAAAACCCGACATTTCGCGACGCCACCATTGATACCAGTTTCAGGATAGTTTGTAGCTGCTTTTCCATAAATCGGACTGATTTGTAAAAATGCTAAACGCGTTTGCCAAACCGTTGAAAGTTACTAGTCCTAGCCGAGCTTAGGTAACGACAAAGGTGGCATCCCGTACGTCAAAAGTAACAACCATAAGTCTTTCTTTTTTTTTAATTGTTTGACTCGATAACGTCATACTACAGTAATTAAAACAAAAACTTTCAAACTTGTTATGTCATGTAGAAGTGTTTCATAGAGCGAACTGAAGACAAACAACTGGTTGTCATTCAAGACGCCCGCGACGTAAGAGTTGCTTAGACTCCCTAATTTTACAATTTTCCCAAATCGTGAACCGACTAGTTTGTCCGTATAACCTTGAGGAAGTTATAACTGTCACTTGCTAAGTTAAATTATTGTCTTTTTTCGTTCTATTTTTGTTTCAGATATGAATATTTCTGGAAGTAGCAGCAGAAGCATCAGTGATTAGTGCTTTTAGTAAAAGTGGATAGAAATCGCGCGTCATGTTGTTATTCACTACTTTAGTTTTTATGACAGCCTTGATGATTAAGAACTATAAGAACTATAACAAGAGTAGTGGTGCTCAATAATGACCTGAAAAATACTTTTGCTTTTTGTTAAACTTCAACAATGATTGCGTCATGGCGTTGTGCGATAGCTCTTTATTACCTACAAGTGATTCAAACTGGTGCAGAGTTTCTGGCCTTTAGCATATGAACTTGTCAATTGATATCATAAATAATGCTAATGGTTATAGTTAATATAAACTAAACAACAATGCTTATCGCCTGCTGTACCGCTATGGCATATTTCAAGGCTTGTCTTACTATTTTCAAGATGTTTGCTTTGTTACAACCGGCTGTATGCAATACCCTTTAAGAATGCAACTTTTTGAAAACCTTCTTAAAAATGTATTTGATGTGGCTGCCTCCACTTTATCAGTAATACAGTAAGGATTGCCTCTTTTACCGGATTTTTTTTAACGTCTAAAATAATTGCATTTGTTTGTATTTATTTCTAGCGAAGGGAGGGACGGCTGGCATTAGTTTCTTTCTCGGTCATGCGTTCTACTCAGCTTTTGGTCATGTGCTTGTACAGATCGTAGCTTCGCTGAACACACGTTTATTTCCCAGAATTGTTTCTTATGGTGTGTCGATATCGTTGTTTACACTATGGTGACTAGAAGGAGCAGCAGGAGAACGTAGCTGTAGTGTCTTACGTATTTAACCACCAACACACACACCATTGCTGCTCGTGCACACCTGTGTATTCAATCATCATAACAGTCGGAGCGCATGCTCGATAATACAAACATAGGGGGTGCGGAGGTAGACCTAAATACTTACATATACTTCATTCCTCCCTTCTTCGAATTACTTGTTGGGTGAAAAGAAAACCTAGCTAACAATGTACATAAATGTCTCTGAATTTCCTATAGATATCCTAACCTTCTCTTATTTATCAGCTGCCTGCGTACTGAAGAAATGCCACGAATCCGAGCAATAACTGAACTATAAGGCTTCATAGATATCTCTCCTAGTTCCTCTCTACCCATCAGATTGCGTAATATGCACGAGAGATCAGGTGGATGTTCACTAAAACCTTGTTATTTAAAGTACAATTTGAAAAGAAATAATTCAATAGTTCTGCAACCTCTTGCTGATCTCTAATGACTCTACTACCTTCCTTCAGATAGCCCGTTCCAGGAGTTCAGATAATGAAGTGCGGCGCGAACCTTTTTGCGCCGTACGCACAATCTGAACGCCTGGAACCGAGCTATACTTCAGAACAATTCTGTGATTACCGACATTCTTGCGAGAATTTATGAAAGTTTTTATAGTCTTTATACCTTTATGTTTTTGTTTGTTATGGTTGGACCGTATCAGCTCTGCTCTAATTTTTTTGCTATTGTGTATAATTAAATTCATTATGGTTCTGCTCCGACCGATAAATGTTTAAGTCTGTTTTATTAACCAATCTTGACTGGTCAAGACTGCTGCATATAGGTCATGTTTGTCGTCGCGTTTTTATGGAGCGAGATAAAGTCGATATTTATAAAAACGCAAAAAGAACTAGGCCCATATCAGCGGCGGATCCAGGAAAGGGGCCCGGGAGGCCCGCCCTCCCCCCATCCCGCGCCCCTTATGTTTAGAGCAAAATGAGGCCCGAACGGCCGGAAAATTTGTTTTTGGACCCCCCCCTCCTCCCTCATCTGAAGATCTGGATCTGCCACTGCATATCCTGCCACCTTGACCGAACAAGCTTGGTCAATAAACGACTTATTACATGGCTAAAAAGAAAAGGTGGTAGGAGAACGTCCGGTCGGGAAAGACAAGTCCAATCAGAACGCAGGATTTGCCTTACCTTGCCCGCTGGCAGAGTCAGCCATATACAATTAATTTGATCATTTGATCATTTGTCTGATCATTTCATGTGTCCGACAAGCAACCTGTTAAATTTTTAAAATATATAGAATTAGCCAGGACTAAGAGCGAAGCTCTCGATCATATTTATAGTTTGTTTAAACAAAATATAAAATTTGGTAATGCTAGCGGCGAAGGCAACGCCGGAGAACGGTGAAAGACAGCAATAGGTCTAATTAGCAAAAAAGCAGCTTTGCACGCGCAGCAGACTTTTTTTCTACGACCACAACGTGAAACTTGCTGAAACTTCTTAGTCACACGTTTTATTGAGGAAATGTCGTACGTTTTCTCGTTCACTTTTTTCTCACTTCCGCTCATTTTCACCTTGCATTGGTGACCGCTGGAATTTCTCATTGTCACCGCCGCTTTTGTTGGAAGAAAATTCCAACAAAAAAATGTCTCCTTTGTTTATCTCTCGCTCTAGATCTCTGTCGCCCTCTTTCTCGTTGAGCTTCGCTGGCCTGTCGCCTACTTTCTCTTTTTCTCTGTCTTTCTCTTGCTCTATATTCCAAATTTGTGGTCATGACAATTATTCTGAGCTTAATACTTTAGAAAATACGGATACAGAGACAATTTCCGCTTTTCGACTCCTTAGTTGTCTCTGCTTTACAAGGACGCGGGGCTATGCGATTTCCCGTCAAAATAACCTCGACTTGCATTTGGGTTGCCATACCTGTTTATTGAGTCATTTTACATTGGTATGCCTGCGGTACGGACGGACGGTCGGTGTACGGTCACGTGATTACCAAATTTTCTCGGATGGGTAGTTTACCACATTTTCTTACCCATGGTGCTCCGCTATAAAACGAGAAATTGAACAGGACACTTTGCAATAAAATTGTCCGTTGCATAACTCAAGAGGCTAAACAGACACAGTTTTCTACTCCGCTTGAAAAAAAAAAACTAACAACAAAACATGACTTTACACAGTGCCATTATAAAGCCAAAAAACTCACGCGGCTGCTTCTTCCGTAAGCCCCGACGATAACAATCGAAAGAGAAAACCACGACCGATATACGATATATGGAAAGACGTTTCGGTAAGGGCAACTTATTAATAATTATGCCATATTAACAGTCTTGAACAGTGACTAAAACTTACCTTGACTGTTTGGTTTGATGTAAGTGCTTCAGGTGCGCTGTAAATCCTTTCTCCAGGAGCCACTGTCATGGTCTGCTGCATGAAATTAGCAGTGCCATAATCTGACACTTTGCCTCTCCATTGGTCACCCTGTCGCCATAGCAACACATTCGCACTGCTGATGTCGCGATGAATGATAGGCTCTGGTTTCTTCTGATGAAGGTAGTTTAGAGCAAGTGCTACATTCAGAGAAATGACTGCTATTTCTGTCTCGGAGAGTTGCCGCTGCTCCAACAAAGTGCGCAGACTTTTCTCCATCAGCTCGGTCGCAAACAGAGTGTTTCCCTCATCATTGGTGGCGCCGATAAACTGTAGTTAGTGAGAGAGGATGGCGGCATTTAGAAGCGATATTCATTTCTCTTTCAAACAGGTTTATATTATGAGGAGAAAGAATCAACTCATGGATCTGTTTCACTGCTACAGTACAGCCACAATACGTTCCCTTATTGACACTTCCCCATCCTCCCCTCCCAAGGCATTTTTCTGTGATTTTAATTTCGTCCCGGAGAATAACCCAGTCACGTGCTTCTTGGCTGTGCAATTCACTTATTGTTTGCTGAGTTGTTGAAAGACTTAACTGTAGTTCAGAAACTTGTCCTCGGCAATTTCTCAACTGCTGTCTTGTCTCCCTTAATTGCCTCTGTGAATGTTCTTCACGTTGCTGAAACTCCGTTAGCTGCCTTTAAGATGATTTTGTTCCTGTTCTTGAACCTCTCTGAGTTGTCGCTGCAGTTTTTGTTCACTTTGCCTCGACTCCGTAAGTTGCCTTTGAGAGCTTTATTCCCGTTACTGAAGCTCTCTGATTTGCCGCTACAAATTTTGTTCACGCTGCCGCGACTCCGTAAGCTGCCTTTGAGCGCTCTGTTCCCGTTCCTGAAGCTCTCTGAACTGTCTTTGTAAATTCTCTTCGCGTTGCTGCTCATCTCTTAACTGCCTCTGGAAATTTTCTTCACGTGGTTGAAAATCGCTCAACTGTCTTTCTAATTCAGAGGTCCGCCTTGTCGAGTTTGCTTCGCCTAGGTCTTGCATCTTTTCTGAAAAGATAATTCAAAAACGATACAAAGCAATCAAAATCACTTGAGTACCATGGGCAAACAGACTACGTTTTACCAAGATATGATTTCAGTTTACCGAAAACAAAAAACAATTAAAAACTTTGTCTTTAAAGAAAATGCACTGCATTTCTTCCCTTGAAACTGAGTGACAACTGTGCATAAACGAAATATTGATGAATAAAATGAAATCTAGAATGGTTCCTTTCGCCCAATTGTCACTTAACATTGCTTGTTTGTAAAACGTCTTCAGCTTGCAAAGTTGAGTTCCAACCCTATGGGAGCTGATTTTTGTTCCTCCCCCACTTTTTTTGTTATTTTCCAATGTTAAACAGTAAGTCGTTAGTCGGGAAGGTGCGAAAAAACGAAGATTATGGCGCCAATTAACGCGAAATTTGAAAATATCTGAAGAAAAATGTCCATGAACTCGTAATGTAAAAACCTTTAATGCAAAATGCAAAACAGTTTTAACACAAAATGTAACAAGTTTTGAACGCAAATTGTAACAACGTTCTGATTAATTGTATTATCAACTTCGTCCTTATTGTTTTTTTATTAATTTCAATATTTCAAATAAATTATTGCTGTGGTTGTTTTCAGAATGCAGATCGTTTTTCCAAGAAAGACAATAAACTGCAATGGGCAGCTTGTGTGAGCCAGTCTGTACAAGAGACTGGTCGTGTAAAAGACCCGGGGGGGGGGGGGGTACTCCCTATAATGGCCTGTACGGGGAGGCTCCGTCCGAAAGGGGAACCTTTTTCGTGCTTCAGGTATAGATCGTTTTCAGTCACGTGGTCAGCGGCTTTGCAAATTCCTTGGAATAAAAGAAAATTTTAACATGTGAAAAGGGTACAATTCCCACAGGATTTTTTTGCACACAAACATGGCCGCCGATTCATTGTTTTGTACACCAATATGGCAGCCGTTACGTCATGTGAAAACTATCTTTATGAAGGGTTAGGGAATTTACTCGTTGAAGTATACGAAAGGGTAGGGAAATCTGTGATTTAGGTCTGTGAAAGGGTCCAATGGGCTTTATAAAGTCGAGATAACGTTCTGTTTTGTGATTAATTCCTATTTAAACGACAGTGCATTTACAGCAGTTAAAATGGATGCAATGTTCTAAAAAAGAAATAGAAAGTATGCCAAAGGGGTACCTTTTTCGTGAAAAATGGTATATAAAGGACAAGGGGTTGGATCTCGAGGCGGAGCCTCCCCGCATAAAAATTTGTTGAGTACCCGCCCCCCCTCCTATGAGCTAAAAGATGCCTCAAACGTCAAGTCATATCTATGCTGACCATTTATTTCATCGATATCGGTATGAATTGTCATATCCGTTGTGCTGTGAGTGGAGGATTAAAGGAGGAGACTGCTAGACTGCTTGCAGCATGTATAGTTTTATACAATGTAAATTATGAAGGAATTATTGCTGAATGCCCCCAATAGAGATAGGTACTAGGGGTGGTCATTACCTGCGATCAGGCAATCAGAAAAAGGGAAGAACGACCGCCTGATGGCAGGTTAGGGTGATCACTGTCAAAGGTTCGTCACATCCCTGGTAGTTCTTTTACGTCCCACAGAGTCGAATTATGTGAAAGTGCTGTGAGACGGGACCTTTCACCCCTTATCTAGAGGGTCTCAATGGTGTTTGTCATCAACCGTCAGAAGATTAGGGAACTTAAGAAAGAGACGTTAAACCGGCGACGGCGACCGGACTGGCAGAGAAAGCCTGGAACTAAGGCAGCCGTCTCTTGCCGTCCCGTTACATAAGATCGAAGTGAACTCAGAAGGACGGCGCCTTAGCAGCTAGAATACCGAAGAGGAAAATATGGCTTCGCATAAAGAATTAAGAGAATTAATATTTGCTGTGCAGACAACATGTATCGGATGAAGAGTTTCTCGTTTTGTGGGAAAATCATGGGTCAAAAATCCAGATTTTCTTTGGGACAGTTACGATCCGTTCACGCTCGAAAAAATGCGGGATGAAGCTGAGTGCAAGGCAGAATTTCGGAATTTCGCGTTGAAAAACAAATGATCTCCACAGGCGAAGCCTTGCATATTCCAGGAACATTAAAATGATACCAAGGAACCGTATTCTTAGTTTGGTATTGAAATAATTCCCGGCAAATACTTGCATGCAACAACAACAACGACAACAACAACTTTATTTCAGTATTCCCACGTTAGTACATGGTTTTACCTGCTATTCTAAATAATTTTCAATGCGTTTCATTTGTACAATACTCTAAGGACAAAAGTGGACTAAAAACACACAATTAAAATATAGGAGTTCATATTTTTTGTCTGGATACTTTTTATTTGGCCCGTAGGACAATTTTGTCCATGTAAAGCGAGTGTAGCTAAATGTCGTGGGTCGTGGGTAGTGGGTAGATGTCGTGGGTCGTGGGTCGTGGGTCGTGGGTGTAGTGTGGGTAAATGTCGTGGGTGAAAAATAGTCTTCCAAAAAAAATAATAAAAATTACAAAATTAAAAAGCAAAAAGTTATAAAATTCATGAAACGAAAATCTCCGAGTACAAACCAGTCCTATTCCCCTTCCCCGCGGTCAGCAAAACAAATGAGCGAATCTTCTAGCACAAACGGGCTTTAAAAAGGGATTTAGGTAAAAAATAAAAGAAACTCTGTACGCTATGTAGACCTGGAGCAGGCTAGAGAAAAACTGGAAACTGAACTGCTTTTTCTCACAGATGTCAACATTCGTGACTGAAACGTCCTGTCAGTTTAAGGAATGATATTGCGAATCGTTACAGCAAAGATTTTGTACACAAAACAAAACAAAAAAGAATCGCGAAAATTGTATTTCCGTAGGGCAATAAAATTTTCATACAGTCTAGCCGCTTAAATTGAAATGTTGGGAATGAAGGTATTTCCTTCGTAAGGTAAGAGACCTAAAACTTCTTTAAGGGACCGACCATTAAAAAAGTTATGGGAAAGGGGAATTTTCGAACCGCAGGAATTTTTTTTTTTCGTTATCAAATTCCTTGTATGAATTTGTTTTAGGCCATAGCATGAATATTTTTTTAGTATTAATTGGCGCGCCTGAATTTTTTTCGTTTAATTTTCCCTTGCGCGAATATTTTTTTTGTACTTCGCCCGCCCCCACCACAATTTTTCTAATGGTCCGTCCCTAAGAAAGACTTCTATCCAGACATATGAATTACCTCAAAATTGTCATTTTCCCCTCCCCTTTCTCACGGTGATCGCATTCCATCGTGCTAAAAAAATCTCCGCTGATCACTGGAATTGTAGATCGAATAAAGATTAATAGTGAGCACCATACTTTCTGCCAGTTGCAGGTATAATCAGTTACGTCTGTTTCGTTTACTTCGCGGCGATAGCTGAGGTATGGATAATCTTTATCGGCAACATGTCTTTTACACAGTTATGTTCTGAAAGGGGAGCCAAGTCCCACGTAGCTAAGGAAATATCAGGAAGAGGCCGAAGAAGAGGCCGTGACGAAAAAGGCAATCAAGGAGTTGGATATTTTCATTTCATAAATATTTTACAACTTGTTTCTATTTATTTTTTTTTTCAATTATTTTACTTTATCATTTTTTTTCTATACCCACGACATTTACCCACACCCAAGACCCACGACCTCTACCCATTACCCACGACCCACGACATTTAGCTTCATTCATGTAAAGCTCACTTACGGTTGGCTGTTCGCCAAGTTGGATCTTGACCCTGTGACATGAAACATAGAAACATGAAAGATGTAGTAAGTTTAGATGACAGAGCTTGGAAATCGAGCTTGAAATGTGACTCAAAGAAAACAAGGACAATTTACGAACGATAATCTGCAAAATTTTGGTTGCCAAACGCAACAAACCTGATTGAATGAAAGTTAAATACTCACGTCAGTCGCCACAACGCCAAACAGACCAGTTTCACGTCGCCGACGGGACCACGACAGCAAGGTGGTGAGCAAGAGCATGCGCAATATCCAACAAATGATGACGTCACGTCCGGTTGAAGTTGCCGTCACCCCGAAAACGTCTCTATTTGAAGTTCCCTATTCAGCAACCATCAACCGTCAAAAAGATTTTTTTTTTACCTTCAACCGTCAAACTGTATAAAGATTAACGGTAAAAAAGTTTCAAGGTATTTCAAATTTCGCTATTAGTTCCGCTGATCTTCACGGGATTCTAGCTCCTAAAGAATTTATATATAAACTGGAAAAACAC